TCATCTGATTTCAATCAAGAGAGCTTTTGTGCTTGGGAAACTTGAGTTAAGGCATAAGTTACTATATCTACAGATAAACTAATCCGGTTTAATACAGATGTATTATATTTAAGTCTTACCTTCAAGATTTTAAGAAAATATAGTAGAGGAAGGAGTATTATTCTTTTGGTGGTTTTTTTTTTGTTTGTTTTTTCTTTTTCTTCTTCTTTTTTTTTTTTGTTTTTTTTGTTTTTGTTCTTTTCCTGTTCCTGCTGAAATAAAATGCTTAGTACAAAAGTTTAAAGTTTCTGGATGCACAGTCTGAAATAGCTAATATAGAAAAAGTGGGGAAGATTTTTATGCCTGAAATCCATTTCACGGAGAATCATTAGTAGAGGAGACAGTTGCAAAGAAAATCTTTTATTTCTAGCTTTTCTGGTTGGACCCTGTAAAATTTCAGTTCCTAAGCAGTTTGGAATTATAAAGTCAGAACAACTCAGAGTGGAAAAGATTATCAGGTCCAGCCTTTCATGGGAAGAGAGAGCCTAATTTGTTCTTCCCTTTCCTGTTCATTGTAATAGAAAACATTTATTCACAAAGAAGAAATTAAAAAAAAAAACAAAACCACCCCAAACACCAAGCAAGTAGAATTTTGTCTGGCACTGGAATTGATAATCTGAAGTGTGCTGTTGCAATGACTAATGGTTGGCTTCAAATCAGTTTAATTCAGTTACGGATTCAGAGTTATGGATTCAGTTGATTCAGAGTTATGGATTGTAAATATGTGTATGAGCACATTTACTATAGTGCATTCCAGTACTTCTGGGGAGCTTAGAAGCAGGAGTGAGACTGACTTTTCATATAGCGTGATGGTGATAGGACAAGGGGGAATAACTTTAAACTAAAAGAAGGGATATTAGATGTTAGGAAAAAAATTCTTTATTCAGAAGGTGGTGAGGCACTGGCACAGATTGCCGGGAAAACTGTGATTGCCCTGACCTTAGAAGCTGTTCAAGGCCAGGTGGGATGGGGGCCAGGACAGCCTGGTCTGGTGGGTGGCAACCTGCCCATAGCAGGGGGTTGCAGGTGTGTGAGCTTCAACCCTTCCAGCATAAGCCTATTTGTGGTTTGTTGCTTGAAGGTAAAAACAATTTGCTTACAAATCTGCCATGAAAGAAAAATCCTCGTATGATTGTACCAGTCACTGAAATAAAATTGGACTGCTAAAGCTCTGCAGAATGTGGTCTGGCTAAGAGACAGCTGTATCTGATAGTCAGAACAGCAAAAGTTGTCTATTGCATTTTTGACATTTCACTGTAGTCATTAATTAGTCTGTGTGAATGCTTATGCTGAAGCAAGAGATTGACATTATTTCTGGAAGATATGATAAGGCCATTAATGATGAACATAAACAGATTCTTACTTGGGATGTGGCCTAGAGGCCCAGGAAGACTAGGTACACACTGTGAGGGCAAAAGGGCCACTGATGCTATCTATCACTCAAATAGCTGAAGCAGGAGGCAGACACCTGAAAGAGGGTGAGATGTGAGAGTGGATTTGTTTTTTATTTATTTGTTTTGTAGAAGTTTGCATCCTCTAAACCTGCCTTTTGGCCATTTGGCTGAAATACATTTTAGAACATGTTTTGATAAATATACATTTTCTTTAGCGTGTGCTGAGAGATGCTTCAGTTTTAGGCTTAGGGAGTGGGATTAGGCAGGGAGCTGAGGGGAAAAATGTGTTGGACATGCAGAAGGATGTGCTTCTCTACACTTTTCAGGAGTTAAATGTGGTAAGTATTGACTCATCAGCCCATCCGGAATTTATCTGTCATAGGCAAGAGGTCAGAGAAAATACATGCAAAAAACATGAAACCAGCAAGACCTTGTCTGCATAGCTTGCATGCCTGCTCGTGCTCACACTGGAACTTAGTGGGCAACGACTTTGTTAGCACCTACATTCCCCCTAGTGGCTGATTTTGATTACTGCAGAGCCCTTAACTCTTACACTGTGGAATCAGGCATGATCTCAAATGCTTTCTGATGTGTCGTGTGCTGGAGTTAGCTGTAAGTCTGTGATTGGTGAGGGCTTTTGGTAGGATGGCATTTTGAACAAAAATAACTCAAGGGCTTTCATATTTACAGTAGTGGTTGGATTAGCAGCATCTTTCCTGTTCATTGTTTACTATGTTCTTGTTTTAAAAACTGCATGCTCTTGTTTCTCAAAGTAAAGAAGATATTTCCACGACTGAGTGTGTTTATTTCCCACTGTAGTAAGGACTGACTAGTTTAAAGTAACTTATAATGCCAGAGTTATCATCCTTTCTTAGTATTAGCTGGAGTCATTCAGATGCGTGTCTGAACATAACAGGGATCACGTTGCCTTGCTGTCTTCTGCAATTTTTGTGACTGTTAAAAGATTTGGTTTTCCGTTTTCTACTGACAGTAGGAATTCAAATTCCCTACTGCTTCATTAGCTTAGAGTTTCAGAGAATCTTCAGACAGTGATTTCTTTTTTTAGAGGCTTAAACTACACTCTTGCAGTAGGAGTGTCAGATGTGAAATCACCACTTTGTTGTGTGCTTTTTCACTGTTTGACTGGAGATTTCTTGGATGCTGTTCACAGCCATCATGCTCTGTGCTTGGACTCACCAATACAAAGAACTGCAGGGAGGAAACAGACGTCACTTATTTCATCCATATTTCTATCTCCCATGGTCCGCTGATGCCTTAATGGATAACATACCTTCATAGAGAAGCATAGGCTTTCAGGAAAACAGAGTTCACACAGACTCCTTCAGGATGTCTGCAGCAGATAAGAAACACTGACTTTTTCAGAAGTTGAAGCAAAAGGGGAAATGGAATATTGCAGCCATTTACAGAAGGTAGTTATTTGACTTTTCTTTGTTATTGTTGTTAGGTTTTCCAGGAACAGTCAACCATCTCCCCATCCCCAGGAGGCCTTTCATCCATGTACACACTGAAAACTGTCAAGCTAGGTGCTGTGATTTAACCCAGCAGCAGCTCAGCACCATACAGTTGTTTTCTCAGATTCCCCCGCAGTGGGAGGAGGGAGAGAATAATAAAAAAAAACAACACAAACACTTATGAGTTGAGATGAAAACCATTTACTAAGACGAAAAAAGGAAGAGGAATAAAGGATTATAGATATCAAATTGTAGAGTCATAGAATCACCAAGATCAAAAGAGACCTCAGAGATCATGTTGTCCAACCATCCATCACAGTATTTTCCCACTAAACCAAGTCTCTTACTACAAAATTAAGCATTTCTTGAATGCCTCTAGGAATGGTGACTCAAGCACCTCCCTGGGCAGCCTGTTGCAGCACCTATCCGCTCTTCTGAAGAAGAAATTTTTCCTAATATCCAACTTGAACCTTTCCTGATGCAACTGGAATCCAATCCCCACCTTGCTACCTTCTCCAGTCAGGTGGTTGTAGAGAGCTATAAGGTCTTCCCTGAGCCTCCTCTTCTCCAGACTGAACAAACTCAGCTCCCTCAGCCACTCATAGCACATGTACTCCTGTCCCTTCATCAGTTATGCTGCCCTTTTCTGGACACGCTCCAGAGCCTTGATGTCCTTCTTGTAGTGAGGGGCCCAAATTATAACTATTACAAATATGTATGTATGTATATATACACAAAGCAAGTGATGCAAGCACAATTGCTCACCACCTGCTGACTGATGCACAGCTGGTCCCCAAGCATTGCCTTCCCCCTGGCCAACTCCCTTCAGTTTTCAAGTTTGTTTTGTATGCTGTCATATAGAATGAGTATTCCTTTGTCTAGTTTAGGTCAGTTGCCCTGGTTCTGTCCAGCACTGCTCACCAGCAACTGAAAAAAAAAACAACCACACTGTGTGTTATCAACATTGCTTTTCTCGTAAAGCCAAAATGTAGCATTTACACCAGACACTGTGAAGGAAAGATGAACTGTCCTAGATTCAGTAAGCCGTCTTCTTGAACAGAGAGGCAGTTATTTGCCATTATTGCTGACAGCTGATTGTCTAATCTGTTTTAGTCTAATCATGGAAATAAGTTATATTTCAATACTTTATTTTTCTTACTTTAGAAATCTTAACAATTTCTGAGACAAATTGTCCAGTCTACCACAGAGATGATGGAAGCTTTGTCTTGCTTGTTGCCCTTTTTGACATTCCTTTTCTTGTCTGAAATTTTTCTTTGAATATTTTCACGTTCTCTAGAACTCAGTGCTTTCTTAGAAGCACTTCAAAATTTTCAGATTTTCTTGAAGACTTCTGCTAAGGCTTCAGCTTAGTAACTGATGTCCTCATCAATTGACAGGGAGTACTGTATTATGTTTTGCACACCGCATTCCTTTGTATGTATCCTGATGTTATGGCTGCCTGTTTTCATTGTAGGGTGACTTGCGGATCAGAGTTCATTTGTGGTTACAGAGTGTATTCACATTTAAGACTTGATAGACTTTTTCTTTTTTAAACAGTAGTAATTCCGAGGAAGGCCTGAATATAATAAATAGAAGGCCACCCTTTGAGCCTGCTGTAAAGTTATGGTTTACTGTATCTACTTCCCTCAGGAATGATGTTTCAGTGCCCTTATGAGTTTTTTTCTTCACTGAATTGAAAAGAAAGGGTCTTCCTACCTGAATTAGTACATAGGTGAAAAATGTTTCCTGTGGCTAGTAAATAATGTGTACAGACTATAATCAATCTAATACTTATATTTGTAGTTCTTCTGAAGTATGCCATCTCAAAAGCACATTTGTAATTTGGTCTAAGAAATGAGTACTTATGAGGGCTGTATTTCGTTGTTGGTTTTACTAATATGACTTATTAATGTCAGCTGTTGTGTGTGAAGTTTTTTGTGACTATCATTGACTAATCAAGTTGGGGGCAACTTCTAGAAGTGTCATGCATTGCATGCTATTACTTTCCTATCTTTTATGAGATAGGTTAATAATAAAATAACGATGTCTCAAATATGATTACTTTTGACAAATAATATTTTCCCTTTCTTTACAGATATTTTCCAATTTATCCCTGAATGAGCGCTGCCTTTCAGCATCATTAGTTTGTAAATATTGGCGTGACCTGTGTTTAGATTTTCAGTTCTGGAAGCAGCTGGATCTGAGTAGTCGCCAACAGGTATGGAGGCATCATTGTGGAAAAAAAGTTTTGCTCTTAGAACTTGTACTCCTGATCAAAGGTAAAAAAAAGAAAGAAATCCATTACAGGTTGATATCTGCATTTTCAGTGATTTTCATACTAGAGGCTGAAAAAGTTCAAACCCGTAGATTAACTCTTCTTAACTTCCTTTGATAAATATCAGTTACTAAACAGCATGAGATGAGTGTTGTTTGAAATGGTTGTGGATTACCTATCTCCAGTATACATTAAGCAATGGTAATTTCATCCCTAAGAACTACTGTATCTTTCAGTTGAAAAATATAATGATGCTTTAGTTTGAACAGTGATTTTTCAACTAGTATGTTTGCCTAAGCAAGTTTGCCTTCATTTCTCTGTGACTCTATTCCTATTAATAAAACAACAGATCTTGGTTCTTTGAGGTCTTTAGCGTATCCTAGAGATAATATTTCTGGGATTCTTACGGAACCTAGACTTTTCTTTGGAAAAGTTGTTTAAGGACGCCTGTTTTATTTGTACACTCTTTCTAGGCTTCTTGTTGCTTTATTACACATTACACTTTATCTACACATCTGTAGAACAGTGTCTTGAGTGTTCTGTGTAGCTAGTGGATACAGAGGAATGACCATGGGAGGATCCCATGTCAAGATGATGTTCATCTATTCTGAACACAAAGATTGTATGTGGGATATTACTTTCAGATCATCCATTCATAGGAAACCATACCAGTGATCTTTTTTCTAGAGTTACTAGTTAACTAATGTACTTCTAAACCACTACAGAAAATTAGATTGTCTGGTTTTTTTGTCAGTTGACTCCCAAGCTCATACAAACCAGAGATATTGTGTGTCAAATCACTTCCCTCTTCATTGTCTAGAGAAGTAATTTTATTTCTATTTGCTAAGCTTTAGAATATTTTTACCTGTTACATGTGTCAGGATCTCACTGAATTTTATCATGTATGGCATTGCCGTGGGAAACCTGTCCTGTCAATTCTTCATTGTGTTCCTAAACCAGCGTAAACAAAAATTATTATCCCTCTCGTTATATGGGAAAGGTTTGGTGGCTATTTTTGTGAGATGAGGCAAAAGAACAAGGTATTTCTTTTTGTTGTTTGTTTTTGCAATTTGTATTCTACAGTATTGGACTTAGTAGTAACAGCAAACAGTTTGAGTGCAGCAAAGAAAGTGTTCTTTGCCACAAAAGTTTCTTAGCCACAAAAGAAAGAAAAACAGAATTTGTTCTTCTCTGTTGCCCTGTCTATTCATTAGCACTAAATGAACAAGTGTTCTTGTATGGTTTTGTTAGACATATTTTTTTAAATTCAACTTTTTTTTTTTAAAGCAAGGTAATTTAATGCATTTAGTTTTACCTGCTTTGACTTTGTTTTTTGTCTTGTATTAACTTACGTGCATCAGAATGAAGTCTATGCTACCTTCCTTGCCTTCTTTGTAGTATTGTCATCTTTTAATGTGCTTTTAATGTGGTTCACATGTTATTTAATAATGTGTGCAGATTCAGAGCTCTGGAAATATAATGCATGTTTCTTTGATTCAATGGTCTTTCTGCTGTTAACATTTAAATATACAAAAACTCACTTTGAGCAAATAATAGGAGGAAACTTGTGTTCTTGAATTACTTTTCTCACTGTTGCATCTTTTGCTTTTCTTCCCTTTTGTTCATTGGTACTTTGGGTTACTGTTTAATGTTGTTGAGATGCTCACTGTTAATTGCATCACTTTTTATTTGCTGGTTTGGATGATTACCAAAGCTGAAGTGAAAACTTGTTGCATTTCAGAGACATATAAACCATATACTCACCTGTAAATACTACCTTAGCTAGAGAAGAGCAAGCATTCTGTGGAATGTGAAGTGAGCTACTAATCTTATTTTCTCCAAACATCAGAGCAGAATTCTTTAAAATTAACTGTAAAACTGGTCACAGTAGTATGTTCTTTTTTTCAGGAGACAAATCCTTTTATTATTGTAATAGCTTATGTAAACACAGCAGTTTTTGTTTTAATGAAATAGAAGATCCTTACAAAAGAAGTTAAATTTAACTGTTTGATTTTTGTTTGCAGGTCACTGATGAATTGTTGGAAAAGATAGCATCAAGAAGCCAGAATATTACTGAAATCAATATTTCTGACTGCCGCAATGTATCCGATACAGGAGTTTGCATATTGGCATGTAAATGTCCTGGACTGCTAAGGTATACTGCTTACAGATGTAAGCAACTTTCTGACACCTCTATCATGGCAGTTGCCTCTCAGTGTCCTCTTCTTCAGAAAGTACACGTAGGCAATCAAGACAGACTCACTGATGAAGGTTTAAAGCAGGTAATACCCGTTCTACTTCTTTTTTTGTAATCTTATTCTTTTGACTTTTTGTCATCTACAAAAATGAATATGGAAGAAGGTTTTTGAGGATATAATTAAAATCAGATGACGTCTTTTACCTTAAAGATCTGTATACAGTCATATATTTAAGTATCATACTTACTATCCAGTTTGTTGTGCTATAGGTTTACCTCAGGTTGGTGGGATTTTACTGTATCTTTACTTCACCAAAGCAGGCAGTTGAGATCTTTATTAGGCATACAGGAAGTTTTCAACAGTTTTGTCTCTTCTGTTAAAAAGAGTATTTAGTGTAAGTTGTGAAGTAGTTATGTTTAATTAAATATCCTGTCAATTGTCTAGTGAGCAGGCATTTTTAGTTGCTTTAATATGCCCTACAATTTAGTTCTTAAATGCTACTCTTATCTTCTTTTTGTTGATTGGAATTAGCAGTCTCTTTGTGTCACATGTATATTTATAATCTTTCTTGTTTTCATGTAGTAATAATACAACTTGCAAATAGAGATATTTTAAGAGGAATGCAGGAATTCAAAGAAATCTTAACTACCGTCACTTTCTACTTCAGTCAAACATTGTTTTTCCTTTATTTTTAAATACTTGCTCTGATTTCATTAATTGCAGCTGGGTTCAAAATGCAAAGAATTGAAAGACATTCATTTTGGTCAGTGTTACAAGATCTCAGATGAAGGAATGATTACTATAGCTAAAGGCTGCCTGAAGTTGCAAAGAATATACATGCAAGAAAACAAATTAGTAAGTATATGTCAAGTTTTTTTCCTCATGGCATTGTCATTTTCAAAGTTTTCCCTTGCTTTTTGTTAATTTAAAACTTTGGTCTGATTAAGCACTTCACTGCCAAAGAGCATCTACAATCGTCTTTTAGATAAGAAAATGTAGATTCTACAGACATAGCTGAGTACATGTTAAACTAATGCTATTTCAGACATACAGTAACTTGCTTTTTGACACAACATTCTGGGAATAAATTGTTGGGTAGATATTTATGTGGGAGAAAGTTTAGTACATACCAAGTGTTTCTTTTGTTTATACCAAAATGTTTCTCTACAGAGCAATGCAAATTTATATGAACTTAAAAATTTCAGTAGGTTGGGTTGTTGACTACAAATAAAACATACATTATCTTTTCTTCAAATATGTCACTTTCTCATCTGGATGCAGTAGTGCCTGTGCTAGTAGAATTGTTATTAATGTTGAGGAGTAGTGCAGGTGTCACAATGAGCGAGCTCTGAAGACATGGTTTCTAAAGCTCAAGGCCATTTTCCATTAAGTGGTACACTAGAGCATTGGCTTTATTTGTTTACCTAACTATTTAATTAATTTTTTTAGAATGTAAGTAGAAAAGTTTGCTTGCATCTGAATTCTTAACTTTCAGTGTTGTAACCTTTAGTTTGAGAACTGGTGAAGTGGAACAAATAAATTTTGCTTGTAAGGAAACAGTGTACTTTGTACTCTGAGTCATTTGATGTGTGGTCTCAAATCATCAAACATACTAATGCCTAGGATGTTATGAGAAATTTGAGAAGAGTTTCTCTTTTAAAAATAACGCTTTTTTTTTTGTTTTCACCAAATTGTAGGTATTTGAGAGGTAGGAGATAATAGCCAAAACAGATCTCAAAAATAGCTCAAAGGAAAAAACAGTAGTGTTCCCCGTTGCTTTCCTCATTCCAGTTACAAAGGAACTCTTTCAGTACTGTCAGAAGTAGGTCCTTGTAAATCTATCATCTATTCTCAAATGATTAGAGTATTAGTATTTCAGCATTTCTAGAGGTTTGTCAAATAGTTCATCAGAACTCAGGTTTTGCAGAGTTTTTTTTTAATGGAAGTAGGTATTAATTTTAAATTTTGTTTAAACTGCTGCCCAGTATGTTTTGGCAGTGTTCAATTTAGCTGAATTTGGACTTTACAAAGCTCTTTACGAGTTGTAAACATGAAATACCCTGCATTATGAATTCCAGGAGATTGAATCTTTATTATAAAGTATTCATAGATGATTCCACCAGATGATAAAACCACTAAAACTGCTAGTCTTCTCACTTCCTTGGGGCAGGATATTTTCAAATCCTTCTGTTGTGGAACTTCAATCTCAGATGATGATGAAGACAGACAAATTGTATTTGTTTATGTAAATTGATGATTTATTACTTTCCATAATTAAAAAAAGAAAGAATTGTTTAATATCATGTAGTTAGCTTTAAAGAGAATAATGTTTGGTTGTAAATGCTAACCTACTACTTGCTTTGTTGATTTTTTTTTTTTGTTGTTGTTCTTGACTGCCTTCTAAAATAAAACCACTGTTAATATTTGCTGCAATACATCTTATTTCCTGCTCTTATGTGAAGAAGATGGTTTTGGAAGGAGTGAGCGTGTTCATTCCTGAATAATAATTTTTTGAAATCCTAATATTCTATGGCAAGAAAGAAAGTGTCCTTGACATAAAGCCTTGATTTGTTTGCATGAAGTACATGGATTGTTAGATGTTTTTTCTCCTTTTTAAATCTCTTCTGTTGCTTCTATGTATTTTGTCTGTGTATTTGTTTTTTATTTTCTTCTTCCTCCCTTTTTTTCAGAGGTGCTTGAAGTCATGTGAATCTTACAGACAATTTTTACTAATTTTAAACTAGAATGCATTATAGATGGTACACGATGCTACGTTTTCATGTAGGCTTTCTCAGGCTAATGGATTTTATACTTCAGAAATACATCTATCAGGACACATCTAGCAGATGAATAATGCCTTTGTGAGTGTTAGTTTGTAATGAAAGGTGGATCGGTGAACACCATTCTGTTGCTTTATCTGTTGCTAAGTAACTCCACTACCAAAATGTGGAGCAGAAATATGGAAAGAATTTATGTTCTGATTGTTTAATATACTAGAATTTCACAGAAAAAAATAAATCTTTTTTTCTTTGAGATACTGACTACATAGTGATAATAAGCGAAAGCTATAAATAATAAACAGTTTGAAAGAATGCATGAAGAGGAAGTATCACAAAGCTTACAATATAAGGCTGTTGTTTATTCTTTGTATTTCTTCAAAACATTTTTCTTTTTCCTCTGTCCTTTCAATATTCAATAGGAGAGTAACTGTATGCAGAATCTTTCTGAAGCCTACTGGCTGAATGAGGAACCTAGTGAAAATCTGCAAGCCTTCTGAAGTGTGTCAATTGAGTTACTGTATAATCAATAAATATATAGATGGTATAATTAAGAAACATACAAGAAAGTTAGGCTAAACAGGTTATCACACTAAAGAAGAATGGATGGAAAGCTTACCCTTATCCTGGGTTTGCTGAGAAGACTCCAAGAGAAGCAATCTCCAGAAGAGATCCTTCCCTAGTGGTAGTCAGCTCTTAAATGGAGTCTAGGAGAGGTGGAGCCAGGCTCCACCCCTTCTGGTAGCACAGGTGAATTGCCTTCACCTGTGCTCCCAGGGCTGGCTCATTGCTCATCTCAGGTGGTCAATCAGAGGTTCAGGCTTGATTCAACAGTTCCGTACAATTATTTTTTCTTGCCTGTTCTCAAAACAATCAACCGATCTCACAGAATTTCAATGTAAAGGGAAGAACAGACAGTGCTAAGAACCCTCCTAATCTCTTGAGTTTTGTTGGACTTAATGTTTTATATCCTTCACTGGGATTAAATTGTGCAAGTATAAGTTTCATGTTTGCCTCGTGAATGAAGTTGGTACAAGATGAATTGGTAAATTTTATTGTTAGCTTTTTATTTCTTTCTGCAACCTCTTTTTACCTTTTACTGTAGAGAAAAAGTACTTAGCTTCTATTGAAGAATCAGAGAACTGCTCCATATTTACATACAATACTTAGCCTGAGAAATAATGTGATGGATGGAGCTCTAAAAGTTTTTGTGATTTCTTTGTGGGAGATACACAACAAATTAGTGACCTAAGTGGAAGATATGTCCCAGAAGCAATTTCATACAAGCCATGTTTAAACTCTCAATTTTGTCAATAGGAAAAGACTTCAATTTGATAGCCATATTTTAGAGATGGTAAAATCTTTCTCTTCATAACTGTGTTGATGCTATACAGTGATTTTTTTTTTCTTCTTTCCGTAACATAGTGACTTTATAGCTAAAACTATATTGATGGTGGTTGCCTGCACCTAGTAGGTGGAAGTTATAGATTTGTACCTTCCTACTTCACACACTGTCTGTTTTTTGGATTGTTATTAGGTGAACTAGCTTCCAAAGGATAAAGGAAATGCAGATGAGGATTTAGATGATATGAGAGGTTGACAGCTTTCCTGCTAATGTACATTTTTCCCTTGCTGTCTTTTATTTTTGAGCTTGGTTAGGGGTACATAGGAAATGACTTGAAGCTACTACAGTTGGAATTCTGACATTTCTCCCAGCCCAGTAAGAGGATCTTTTTAAGTAAATGGCTTAAAGATAAATGATTTGTTTGAGACTTCCCAGATACTTTCATTAAAACAGTTTTAGTGTGTCTTAGCCACACTTTTAGTCACTTGTTTATCTTCTGGCTCTGTTCAGGAACACTGTCTACTCTGAGCAGAAGGCAGCTTGCTTTTCCATGTGACAAAATTTTGCCTTATTGGGTAAATGGGTATTTTATGCTCCATGTATATGAAAACTTAATATAATAAATATTTTAAAGATGATTTCTTAGTGCTGTTTTTAAAGATCAGTACCTTATTAGTAATTAAAATATAATTTTGTGTTAACTATAACCATTATGTTTGAATGAACCTATAATGCTTAAGATGTGTAAAAGATTTCCTTTAAAAAAATCATTAAAAATAAAACAGAAGGTCTTTGTTTTTGTCTATCTTATGCCAAATAGGTTAATACCTATACATTTTAAAGCATTGACTGGAGCTAACCTACTGTAAAATTCTACTGGACAAAATAAACTCTCATATTTTATGAGTATTAATGGCATAGTGTAATTTGCTATATTAATCCTTAATTACTGAGAATTAATGCTTTTTTCTTTTTGTGCTGTCCTTGAGTTTGTAAGTCAGTTCTCCTTTTTACTCATTGGCTATGAACGATTTGCAGTGTGTCCAAAGGCCTTTGTGCATAACAACAGTGCAAACGTGGAAAGTAGAGAGCACTTTGATTTTAGTCCAGTCATACTGTTTGATGGGAAAAGTCATACACTATACATCATCTGGTACTGTGAAGTACTGAAGTGTACAATGTATAGAAGTCTTTCTCTCACTGCTAAGTGAAAAAGCCTTTTTGGGGAAAATGTTTCATAAAAAGTGTGATTTTCTTGCTTTCTCACCCCCAACCTATTGCACATACTACTTCAATTTTTACATGTTATTATTTTAAAGTGTTCTACTTGGAGAAATTTCAAAGAAAGGGGATAATTTCCCCAGGCTTCCATATGAATACTTTTCTCAAATATTTCTAACTAGCTCATTTGATTGGTTTAAGGATTTGAAAAACTGTAGTTGTTCCAAACTTTTCACTTTCTATTTTTAGTTTTATTTTTATTAGAAACTCATGTTCTTCATAAAAGTGTAGTTAGTTTTCTTCGTAGATTCAGAACCCATACATAGGACTTTTTACTTGCAAAACATATGCATATATATTGAGTATGAAACCAATATAGAGCTGATCACTGTATTGTATATTTTAGCTGTGGACACTGGTTCTTTACATTTTGTCAAATATTATATTAGAGCTTTCTAAAGGGAAAGTTTGTTACACGTGACAGTGTTGGTGGTTCATTAATAATGCTAACA